GGCATATACGTTACGATGAGGCGAGGGCGCACGGTTTCCATAAGGGGGGTGCATCGTGTACGCCGAAGGAAACGGATTGTTGAACTGCATGCTTTGGGGAGGAGCTGCGAGACCTCCACCGGGAGTAAAGTAAGCAGCTGTTTTGCCCGGTTAGTCTCGTAGAATCAAGTAGTTTGCCAACTCCGCTTACCTGTGTTGCCGAGAGGATAGTTCTGGTTCTCCGAGTAGCCCATGGAGAAATCCTGGGCGTGCTGCTGCTCAGGGACGGGGTTGTCGAGCGCGCTGAAAGACTCGTTAATGGAACTGATGGAGCCCTGGCGGGTCGGGATGTCGGCAAACGAGTGTCTGCGACTCTGCTGTCCCTCGGGGCCACCAAAGCCCAGAGAGCTGTGCCAGAAGGCCTTCTTGACATTCTCCAGCTTCCGGTTCTCGTAGGGCGACCTGAATCCAGACGCGCCGTACTCACTCATCCTCCGGCCCAGGGCTCTCTTCGTCGCCATCTCGTTTCCGTCGTTGGCCTCATCGAGCTCGTCGATGGCAAAGTCGGACTCCTCGGGTACGGACTCGCGCAGAGCGTACCCGTTACCAAGTCCGTAGGCCGCACCAGTCGAGGCTCTCGGGCGGAGCCGGTTTTGATATTGCTGCTGCTGCTGCTGCTGTTGTTGCTGCTGCTGACGAAGCATGGCATTTTCGCGAGCAAGCAACTCGATCGTCTTTGCCTCGGCGGACTGATGCATAGATCCCTGCATGGACTCTGTCGCACTCTCGTCGTCATCGTCGTCAACCTCCTTGACCTTCCCAAGCAGTCCTCCGTCGTTCGACATCTCGCTCAGCATACTGGGACGGGAGGGCCGATGCTGCAAGCCTGAGTGTCCATGGGCACGACCACGACCTAGGATCGTAGAGCTGCTCATCGCAGTCGGGGGCGCGTCAGGCTCTAATTGGCCGACAGAGTACGACTGAGAGCGGTAGGTCTTGGGGGTGGGATGGAGAGGGATGGCAAAGGGGATTTGGGCATTGGGACCAGCGTCTCGCGGCGCGGGGGACGTCTGGCCATAGTTGACGTCGGTGTTGAAGAAAGAGCCGCCGGCTGAGCCAGGCGGCATCGTGGACGTGGGCGAAGGCAGAACTTCACTCAGGCGCGAGGGAGGATCCTTTCTCTCGCTGTTCCAGATACCTGTTCCCCAGGTGAAAGAGCCTCCCGAAACGGGAGCACGGCCTATGACGCCGGATGGCTGAGAGTGAGTACCCCAAGGGGCGGTTCCCTCGGCAGACGGGGTGCTCGGGTGGGAGGCTGTAGGAGACATTGAGCTGCTGGCGAAAGAGCCTTTGCGGGGCCGAGGCAGCGGCTGGGTCGTGTCGTTGAGCCAAGAAGCGCGTCTTACCGGCTTCTGATGCTGGGTTGCCTGTTGAGGGGCTTCCTGGCGATGAGAATCGGTCTCGTCGTCTGAGCTCGCAAGTGCTTCGGAATCGGGCGTCGATCTACGGTTGAGCTTGTCCAGGAGGATGGTGTGGTTGCTGACTCCAGAGAAGGCGCCCTGACCCTGCTTGGATGACGGGCCGGGTTTGGCGGCGCTGGCACTGCCCGTACCTGAGCTCATTGTCCTCCCGTTGGGACCAACTGAGGGTTTGGCTCTGGATCGGCTGGAACCGCGACTTGGCCAACCTTGAAAAAGCCCAAAGCGAGCTGCTGATAGCTCGTTTAGAGGATGGGAAGACGGGTGGGTTCAAACGGATGAAGAGTGAGTGCTGCGTTAATGAGCTTGGTCAGGTGATTTGTTTAAAGCGGTAAAGGCCGAACGAGACTAGTCGTTGTGTTAGCAGCTATGTCATCAACCGTTAAAGGCAAGCGCTGTGAGGCAAGTTTGAAAGAGACAAGTTTCGCCGCAAGCAGCTTGGGTATCGCAGCGAGCTGCGGCGGAGGCTGCAGGTCAAAGCTGGCAGCCACTGGCGAAGGGGAATTGGAAGGCCGCCACGAGACCCGAGCCACAGGCCTCACAGGCCGGCGCCCAACAAGGTAAGGCAAGCAGACGAATAAGTTAACGCCGCAGACCGCACCCTAAGTACGAAATGTCGTTGACCGAATGGTTAAGAGGGGGCGGGTGATGGGGGTGTTGGTTGGACTGAGGGCGAACCCGTGCAATGCCATGTGACACGCGCAAGGCAGACAGGATAAAAGGGCAGACAGGCAGGCAAGCAGGCAGACTGCCCAGCAATGAACCGACGAACGGTTGTGGAGTTTGTCTTTGGGGGATGGATTTCCCGCCTGGCAACGGCGGCAGCAGCAGCAGCAGCAGCAGCCCTTGCGACCAGGAAAACGATTCGCGCAACAGAAAGGTGAAAAAAGTACGTACCTAGCTGAGGGAAGCTGAGTAGATATATTCCCAGGGCGTGTCGAAGTGTGCGATCTCTAGATACTGAATAACGGGTTGGCTGAGACTGGAGGCAGAATCGACGTGATGGCGCGCGCGTGAGGATCGAGTTGAGGCTCCTGGGCGACGACCGATGCGTGGTGTGTGGCGCGGCAAGTTGGCTCAAGACAAGATGGGGGGTGTGGTGCTCTGAGGGGGAGATGGGGGGGGTCGCAAGCACAGACAGGCGGTGCAGGGAGAGAGGGTAGGGTGTCCAAGCAGTGAGTGACACTATTAAGGCGTAGATGGAGCGAGAGTGAGAGTGACGGAAAGCGCGCGTGACGAGTATGAGAGTTTGGTACGAAAGATGATTATGGCGCGCGTACAACGGAAGCCAAGAAAAAGTGCGAAAAGTCGTCTAAACCAGCCCGTCTAACCCAAACCCGAAGTTGCCCAAAGGAAAATATTCAACGGTTTGTATGACGAGGGGTCGCGCAGCAAGCTGTGGCGGTAGTCGTCGTGGCCAAATCGTGGTGTGCGTGTGCTTGTACGGATGTGTATTGCATGCGTGCCGTCTAGAATCGAGGTCCGATGTCGTTAGCGGAGGGGATGGAGATGGCAATGCGACAGACGAGCTAGGCGCATCTCATGGTCGTCGCGTAGTGGATGAGAGAGCGATCGCAAAGTGGAATGCGGACTTGGGAGTTGTGGATGCTGGTACGGATGCTGGGGGGAGGGAGGGGGGGCGAGATGAAATTGCCTTGGGCGGCGCCCTCGATCCTTGGGGAGTGCAACGGGCTTGAAGAACAGATGAGGAGAAGCAAGGAGACGGTAGGAAGGGAAACGGACGGGGAGGTGTTGGAGAGGTTTGAGAAGGCGATGGAAAGAGGTCACAGTTGTAGTAAGTAGTACGTTGACGGAAGCGGGGGAGGAGAAAGACGTTGCGACACGAGACCAGAGCTTGTCCAAGTGGCTGGTGCGCACCTATGGGAGCGGAAGGGTCCGGGCCAGGGTATCCGTAAGGTAGCAAGTGTAGAGAGAGGGTGGGAGGTGGCAAGCTATCTGACGACACAAACAGCAGTGTGAGAGGGGAGGGGATGTAAGGTGTGTGTGTGTGAGTGTGAGTGCGCACACGCGGTGTGTGTGCGTGATTGTACGGTGAGGGGAGCTGGGTAAGGGACCTATTCAGTCAGAATAAGGCGGCAAGATGAGAGAGGGAGAGAGACGACAAAAGTAAATAAGAGACAAGGAGGAGAGATCTAGGGTGGTTTCCATTCTGTATCTGGTACCACAAGGAAGCCCAAGGTCGTAGGGATAAAGAGGGCAGAGAGAGGTGGTGTAAGTAGGGCCCTGCTCTGCTAAGACCAGATCAGGCCATGAGAATGAATAAAGGGCAAAGTAGGTAGAGTGTGTGGACTGTGTGGTAGCAACGGGAGCAAAGGTAATGTGCAGTATGCAGCGTGCAGCAGCAGTCTAGTCCGTCTCCAGTTGCAGCTCCAGCTCTCTCCCAGTTCCAGTTCCAGGTCCCAGTCCAGCCGAGCCCAGTCCAGTCCAGTCCAGTCCAGTTTGGTTGGTTTGGTGTGCGCGCGCGTGCGCCTCAAAGCCAAGGGGAGAGAGAGATGTGCACACACTGTATAAGTGCCAATGCTAATGCCAATGCCAATCCCAACTCAATATGCCCAGGGTATGCACGCTACAGAGCGAACTATGCCCTGGTAGTGTTGGCCTTTGAGGTACCTGTCTGTGTCTGTGCCCCATCCACAGGGGCAGGGCAGCTTACGTAGTAGACTTGGAAGGACTACGGTACCTAGCACCCAAGACCAGGCAAGCTCACGTTTGTAAGGGTCGGCGGCGGGTTGTCAGGGACGGGAGTGTGCGTGCGGGCTGGTGGGTCAAGTTGAATAATGTCGTGGGAGGTGGCAAGTGGACGGGTCCCAGTCGATTATCGCACCACTACAGGAAGAGGGTGGGAACGCGCCGGGACGATCAAGGCACAACGGGAATAACAAAACGGGCAATTAAAGAAGAGGATGGGAAAAGAAAAGAAATGGGGGCCGGGGTGGGACCGTTTAACGAGGAGAGAGAAGAGGGAGAGGGAAACCAGCATGTTTGCCTCCGTCGTAGGGCATGCCATCTACTTGCGATTCGAGGACTTCTGGCCTCTTTTCACCTCAAGCAAAGGGCACCAGCCAGTCGAAGCCTTCTCATCTCCTTAGCCAGTGGCGATCATGATACTTTGGAGCAAGGATACCGTTGCAAATGGGAGGCTGGATCGAAAGCGCCGTGCAGGTCTTCAGATCCGCCAAGAGGAAAAGAACCCAGCAGAGATGCGCCGAGATATCATAACCAGCCATCTCCGACCATTCCATGCCATGCCCAAGAACTTGCCAGCGATACGAGAGAATATCACTGCGAGATTGACGATGCCGTCGTTTCTTGCAGGAAATGCATAGCGCTACAATCTCCAAGAGCCAACCACTTGAAAGGCGCCTGGATGCATAACGCTGATAAGGCGAAGAGAGAAAGAAGCAATAGAACCAATCGTAAAATACAACAAAACCGGTTGTTTTCGTCCTCGCCCCATTTTCTTCAGAGAGCAGCACTTGCTGTAAATCCGGGGAATGTCTTGAGCAGGGTTACTTCGTCTCGTCATCTCTGCCATGCCCCAAGGAGCAATGATGGGCAACGACCGAGTGGTGTTGAAGCAGTCAAAAGAAGAAGAGAGAAAAAAAAGTATCCAATCACCTGTGAATTGGGGTTTTGAGCGGTAGCTAGGCCAAGGGAAGACACCTTAGTTTCTGTGACTGGATGCCTTCCCCCTTCCACCCTTTTATTCTTGTGGAAGGATGCTGAATGGTCGAGATGTTTGCGAGAGGGTGTGGACCAGAAAGCGAAAGAGATGAGAGAGGGGCGCGAGGCAGAAACTTTCCCAGACCAGGTCAAGGCGAAGGAATACGGGAATCGGAATAGCCCAGAGGCCGAGAGAGGAGGAAAGACGAGAAGAAGTCGTCCAGGATTTGCCGCTAGAGAAATTTGAGTTGAGGCGGGTCTGTATGTGTATGTGTGTGGGTGTGTGGTGATGATGGTAGTGGTGGTGAGAAGACCGTTGCTATTCCAGATCCACTTTCTGAAATAGAAATGGAAGGCGCGCTCGGAAAGAGGCCTCTGATATTGGCGAACACATGTATGCTTTTCGACGTCCAGCTGTGAATGATATATAAAGAAGAATAAAGAAAAAACTTTTTTTTGTGACTCTCTTGACGGGTGTTGCGATGTATACAAAAGGATGCCGACGCCACGGAGGAAGGAGGATTCAGGCCTCCCAACCCTACCTACCCCAATAGATGGAGGAGGGACTTGGCTCCCCCCCCCCCCCCCCAGCAGCACAGTGCCGAAAAGATTCCCGCCTCGAATGGTGGATGCAACCTAACCGCACTCGATCACCCGCAGATACGTACCCACCAGCATCTCTGCGTTTCCCCACACTTTCTCCAGGCGCAGATCCACTGAATGTACGGATACTTTTGCGTCTATGTCCTGTGCCAGTCAGAACCAGCCTAGCCAGGATACGCCACGCCTGTCAGGGCTCAGGGGCTGTGGGTAGTGGGGTCGCCCTGGCTGCTGAAGGCCAATCATCTTGTGTTGCTTACAGCTACCTCTCTTCTTTGTTCCTCGGTATGGTAGGAACTGGACTGAGAATCTGAGAGCCATTGTAGCTGCCTCGATACCTCTTGGATTCCAGATCGAGCGGGAAGGAAGCGGGCAAAGCGGGTAATCAAAAGTCAGAACGACGCATCGCCGAGATTGATGAAAGGGAACCAAGCCACCCGACAATACTTGGGTACCTAAGCATGCATACCTACCTACCCACCTACTTACTTAGGTTCCAGTACGCGATATTCGGACAAAAAAAGATAAGAAAAAGGACAACCTACGGATACCTTACCTAGTTATAGCACCCATGAGAGAGTCTCCGTCCATCCCCCACACACATCCATGGCCCGTCTCCATTCATCCCATCGGAGCTGTCTGCTTTGGGCCACTGAGATTCTCAATTACCGACAAGGCCTTCCTGATTTTGCCCAATCTTCTGCTCGGTCTATTACCGCCCGGTTACAGCCACCCGAGCCCGTGCAGATGCATCTGCAACACTGCGAACTCCTTCATACCCCTTCTGTACCAACACTGTAGGTAGCTATTCTCTTCTTCACTTTGGCCGGCCGGCGGCTCGACTCCGACGCGGCTAACAGGCGACGCAGATGGGCAACGACCCCTTTGCTCCGTTCTCTATCAGGACCAGCCTCAGCGTAGGTGGCCTGCACCATCGCCTGCCTTCTTGGTGGACATATACGATAATATTCTTCCGGTGCCCTCGACTTCACAGCTTCTCCAAGTATCTGCCCCTCTCACGACATGCAATGCTTGCCGAGAAGCGGGCGATGCAGTACCTATGTCTGCATCCCGCGGCCATGCATCCCGGTCGATGGCGGTATGTACACACCTCGGATCATAACTACTACCTACTTACGGCGCACCCCGTCGACGCATTCCAACCGTACATACATGGCAACCATATTATCGTTAGTTCGAGCCTCTTCTGTTCCGCCGCAACATGCTGTTACATGACGGGGCATGCGGTTGAGCAGTGAACTGTCTCATATCCGGAGCCTAGGCGACTACCACGCAGGCTTGACCATCTGATTCGGGGAAACAAACCAGGAACACGCCGCAAAGACTGTACCGTGGAAGGGAAATGCCTCTCATGGCGGCCCCGGCGATGCCGGCAATCACGCTGCTCTCCTCACGTATGCTTTCCCTCAGCCTTTGAGCATGGGGAGGGCATCTGACCCAAATGCGGCTGCGACAGGCGGAGCCTATTCGTTCATCGCCGATCGGTTAACCTTGCCTGGGCTTTGCCCCTCGATCAACGCCTGGCCAGGTCCAACTTTGGTCAGCGGTGACATAGCGCAACATCCAGCAGGTATCATCGCAGCACTTTCCAACCACCCCCCTTCGTCCCAGCTGCGTCCATGATACGTCCGGGGGTCCGCTGTAGGGCCTCGCCCATCACCACAGGGCCGACGCTGCGGACATACTGCGTACGTGAGACGCAGTCGTTGTCCCATACGTTTATTCCTTGAAGGCGGCACAGCGCACGCACCGCCATCACGTTCCGGATCTCAACGGTAGCGGGATCCGCGACCGAACATGTCACGGTCCTTCCCCGGACAGAGTGATTGGGGTTCTGCCGTTGGGCGGGGTTGCAACTGCGAGGAAACTTGCAGCTCGTGGCCAGTTTCCGCCCAACGACCCCGCACCACTAAGTCCGTGTACTACGTAGACCAGACAGACTCTTTCCTTCAACCGCCTGCAGGGTAACGTCCTGGGAAAAGGCTGCCATTTCCGGCATTGAAAATTAGCACAGAAGGGGCGCGCATATGCATATGTGGGCTGGAGGCTTGGTGTCCAAGGTCGGGGTTCAAGACTCCTCCCCGAGACCGAGAGGGGTAAGGATCCATGGACCAGATGGACTGCTGCGGCTTGTCACGCGCACCCATCCCGAAGCTAATCTCGTTTGCCTTCAAACATTTGTTCGATTGGACTGCATCTCACTGACCTCACCATGGCACCATTCAGACTCCCGAAATATGGCACGGTTGGGGGGAGAGAAGGGGCTAAGACGTCAAATAGCGTGTAGGTAGTGTCGACGACCGTGTGTAAACGCACTGCCGGCAACCAATGGGCCCGCGCCGAGAGATGGACATATGTCACCCTGGAACAAAGTCGGCTTGCATGTCGACGCACTGATGTGGGCAGAATTGCGCATCTCGATTGGACCGCCCAGTCTAGTGCGAAGCAGAGTAAACGTCTGCTGTTGTCTCTAATTGTGGCCAGCCGTGGATTGCCTAATGACCGAATCCAAAGAGTCACGCAAGAAGCGTAGAGCATCACCGAGTGGTGATCAAAACCTACGACTAGACTACTCGAACCATACCACGACGAACTGACTGTTTCTGCTGCAGCCAAGTGTAACCACCAAACGCAGCACCGAAACGCGGCGCCGAAACGCGACGCACCGAGCCGACAGTTGAGATCTATGACGATGACCCCACGAAGATGGAATGCGAAAGTCAAACATCAGCCAGGGGAGGGGGGGGCTTTACCCCGGATTCTCATCTTGTCATTAAACTCAACCTTGGCGGCTGCTGCAACGGCTCCAGGAGCCACAGAAGATGCCTGAGCGGCGTCAAATATGGACCAACAACAGCCTCAACTTTACCGAAGGGAACCATCTCAACCAGGGGTTGGTGGCTTTCTTACTAGCCATTGACTGACCCTCACCGGTGAATATGCCATGCCCGAGAGCCCTGATGCCGACCCCTTCAGGTCGCAAGATGCGCCGCTGCTGCCGATCTTCTGTCTGCAAGTGGTGCTCTCTTGAGGAGACTTGCCCTAACTTGGTGTCCTCTGGTGAAAGCCGACAGGGAGGGAGGGGGCTACCGCCGCTTCCTTGTCAAGAAGATCAAGTCGTACTCGGTGCGGAGACGGGACCGGCATACACCCGGCATGCTGGCATGACGATGAGGAGAACCGGCACATGGACAGGGAAAGTCAGGCAACAGAAGAACGCGAGCTCCTCTTGATGGGTCGATAATCTCTGGTCCTGGCGAAGCAAGAGGGGTTGGAAACAAACCGGACATGGAGGCTTGGTTCGCATTCTCAACGCGAAGCGGGTGGATGCTAATTAGGATGCTGGGGGGGAGAGGGGATTGAGGGGTTCCTGCACGGCGGCCGTCATGAAGCACAGCCCTTGTTTCCCCGCCCTGGCCCGCTGCAGCAACCCTTGGCTGACCAGAGTCCAATCAGCGTGAGAGGAAGGGGGGAAGACCTTCGTTAACCCTTGTGGTACGTGACAACGGCTAGGTATCTGGCTGTCCAACAACTTGCGACGGCCACGTTTGGTCGCGGCGTCAAAGGCAGTAAGCAATCATCTGTTTCTTGAAGGAGGGTTGCTGCCCCTACGGCAAGTTCCAATGGAGCACGCGTGCTGCCGGGGCCGGTCTCGGTCTGGAACGTGACTTTAGATGAAGTGACGCGGTCGGCATTGGCAAGGCCTTGTGTCAGAGCGAACACGAAGCTTCGCAGGCTTGGCCGGCCCATTGGCGGATGGTTATAACGCGGGCGATCGTCATTGATCCCACCGGGCGAGGCCGGCAACGCAAGCGGGCCAGATCGAGGCTGCGATGAAGGAAAGCGTAATGGGTATTGTCCGTATCACCAGCGTAATGCCCAGCGAGATGTTGACGTGATTATACAGCATTTTTTTACATGACTTGTGCACCTCTCCCCCGAACTCGTCTACTCAACACCCCAAGCCAGAGCCCCTTCTGGGCTACGTTATGGTTTCAGCTCATGCGGCGGTCGCCTCGTGGCCCTTTTGGGCCTTGAGCTTCTCCTCAAACTTGGCAAACTCCTGGAGCGCGATTTCTTCCTCCTGGTCGAGGATCTGCTGGACACCCTTGACCTCCTCAATCTGCGGAACAATGTCAATCCATGGCCGCGAGAGTCTTTTGATACTTCCGAAAAGACGGGGGTCGGGGTGCCAACTTACGTAGTGCATCAGCATGCCTTCGATGCCATTCTTCAGTGTCACCGTGCTGGAGTCGCACGTCCGGCAGGCGCCGCGGAGCTTCAGCAAGACGATGCCGTCGTCGGTGAAGCCGCGGAACTCGATGTCGCCGCCGTCCTCCTGGATGGCGGGGCGTATCCTCGTCTCAAGCAGCTCCTTGATCATGCCCACGACCTCGCTGTCGTTCTCGTCATAGGCCAGGCTGTCCTCTTCGCCGTGCTGCTGCTGCTCCTCGCCGGCGACGCCGCCCTCCTTCTTCTCCGCGACGTTGACGATGGACTGCCCCGAGGTGATGGCCTCGGTGATGAGTGCGAACACCTCGGGCCGGATGTGGGCCCAGTTGGCGTCGGCGGCCTTGCTGACGGTGATGAAATCGGCGCCGTAGAAGACAGAGGTAACGCCGTCAATGTTCATGAGCTGGGCGGCCAGCGGGGAGGGGTAGGGGGGCGCAATGGTCGAGCGTGGGTTGAGGTACTCGATGAAGGGTGTCGAGATGTTCTCGGGCAGGATACGGTGGTTCGGGAGGAACTTGATGGCGTCGGCGTTGGGCGTCTGCTCGGTCTGGATGAAGATGGTGCGGATGCCGCCCTCGCGGCCGGCGAAGGGGGACCGCCGTGCGCCGGCTTGCTGCTGGGGGTGCTCGCGGGTTATGCGCCGGGGAAGATGACTTTGCTGGAGAAGACCAGCGGCGGGTTGGACGCTCGCAAAGGTTCGCGATTGTTGGAGGGGCGCCGTCACGGGCCGGGTAGCGGGTCTGGATGTGCGCGCGACGGCACGCAAGGCCGTCCTCGTTGCTCTGTAAGATGACATCGTATGCATGTATTTCGTCGTCGTCGTCGTCGTCGTCGTCTTCTTCTTCTTCTTCTTCTTCTGGTTTTGTTTGAAGACTCAGGGGCCTACAGCAGTATTGAAAAAGGGAAGTTCGTCGACGGTGGCAGGTTGAGGAGGCAATGTCCACGGAGTAGGTGGTCTTGATGTGTTGATTGCTCGATTGCACAAAATTATTACAGGGTCCAGGTTGTCCTCGGTACTAAACGCGGCTTTTCGAGCAAATCACGGCGCTCAAGACGTCCATCCAGGCAAGCTTCCATTTTTCCCCCACCGTCGCCACTCAATTCCCAAGCGTTGTATTACCAATCATGGGTCCCCCCCCCCTTCGGCTTTCGGTCTTCCCAATCGGAGGAACGAGGAGTTGGTCCCGGGGAGTTAGGGGGAGCAGCCTTGTCAGGATGACGCACAAACGAGATTTTCTGGCCCGTGGACCTCCAGATTCGACTGAACCAGGGGGACTTTGCAGTGGGGGGAGCCTCTGCCCCCCCAAGGCGGTCAAAGCTGCCTAGGGTGTTTGGATGGGGTTGGGACGGCCCCGCTGGAAAGTTCTCGAGCACCGCGGGCGCTAGGACCCAACGGCAGAAAAAAAAGAGAAGGAAAAAAAAGGTCACCGAACGTGATGGAATAGCGCCCCCATGGCTGAGCTACCTACACAAGCCCAAGCGAGGTTTTGAGGAGCAAACAAGAAAAGAAAAGAAAAAGCCAGAGAGTGTGTGAGAGAGAGGAAGAGAGGATAGGGAACGTCAGAAAAAACGGGGTGTAAAACCAGAACCAGTGACATAGCACCTGATCCCAAGGCGAGAAGACCCTGTTGAATCGACATCCTTGCCTACCTGCCTAGGTCAGCACTCTATTTACGTTTGGGGAGAGAGAAAACATTGCAAACGAATCCCACCACACAACGCGCGACGCACGACGAACAACGTACACGAGAGGACATCTGACCACCACCGATCCTTCCTCGCATTGTACACCACTCAGGAGCAAGCCCGTATACAGCTAAAAGAAAAGAAAACCGAGACGGACGTCCACGACACGAGAGTACAGCAAGCCCTCCCCCCACCACCCGTGACGAAAGAGACGCCGCCGCCCTCGATTCCAGAGCAAATGTCCATCCCTAACGACGAGACCCCTGCCGCCGCCTTTGCCGCGACTTCCTCATCGCCGACCCCCCGGTCCCCCAAGCGCCCGCCAACTGACCCTGAGGACCTGTCCGGGCCGGCGACCAAGCGGTCCCGCGCCGCCAGCCTCTCGGACGACGAGGCCAATACCCGCGCCACGACGGCAGCTATGGCGAACGCCTCGCTGGCCGGGAAGGAGCAGGAGGAGACGCGCGGCACTGTGATGGACACGGGGGCGGAAGGGAACGGTGCCTCTACAACAACAGCGGCGACAACAGTAGGGGAGGAAAGCACAGCTGCCGCTACCGCATCACAGCCCTCCAGAGAGACAAATCACGACGAGGCCCAAGAGACTACGACGACGACGACGACAACAACGCCCAAGAGCAAGATGTGTGGCGTGTGCACCGAAAAGGAGGGCAAATACAAGTGCACGCGTTGCGCATTGCCGTTGTGCGTACATCTCAAAACATCTTGTCCCATTATGCGGCTTTCATGATACGTTTCGCTCGTTATATACATTATCTTTACTGACATTTCGTCCGTGGCCCACAGCTGCTCCGTCCCGTGCAGTAAGATCCACCGCGAGAACCACCCTCCCGACCCCGAGCCTTCAGCGGCCGCGAAAATCCCGAGCGCGGGCGACCCCGCTCACGAGCCCCTTCAGTCCGACGCGCCGAAGCCGCCCCGCGACCCCAGAAGCCCCTTCAGCGTCCTCGACAACTCGGATCAGCTCCGGTACCTGTTTCGGCGGTACCCGGGCCTGCAGGCGCGGCTGCTCGATATCCTCGCCGCCACCGAGCCGCCGCCCGAGATGCAGTCCACGGGGAGCAGCCTCAATGACATGATGAAGGCACGGGCCATGGCGGCTGCGAACCCCAAGAAGGAGCAGTGGACGCACGACGTTGGCATCCGCAACGGCAAGGCGGCACTGCGCAAGGCGAGGGACGCCGCCGGTGAGGACGGCGAGGGAGTGCGGGAGTACATCGAGCTCATCAACCATCTCATGTCGGAGGCGAACGCAACCGCCGAGGCGGAGGAGGTTGTTCGGAAACAGGCTGCTGAGAAGGATGCCGAGCTTATTAGGCGCCTCATGGCGGAGGACCGGGGTTGAATCACGGGTGGTCGGATATGGAGGGACCAGGGCCGCACGCGTTTGCCGAGTGTTGGGTAGGATTGGTCATGCACGTTCGAAGGCTGTGCTTGAAACGACCGTGTATGCATAGCTGGGATCGAGTGTCTGATGTCGAAAGACAGGTAAGGGCCTTCTGTCCCCGAGTCACCCTCAAACTCAATGGTTGACCTTGAAGCGTGAGAAGAACCCGCCCTTGGGCGACCTCGACACGTCGGACGGCGGACTGGTTTCCCTGGAGTGATTCTCATCCCGGCCATGCTTGGTGAAAGCCCCCAGCTTGTTCTTGAGCGCCCAGATGGAGTCCGCCCTGCGCAGCGACGGCTTGGGCTTCGGTTGGGGCTGGATCTCATCGCTCTGCGTCCAGTCCACCCGGTGCTCGTAGGGGTTTTGTTCCGCTGGAATATCAGTCGTGTCGTCGGGACATGGCGAGGGGGCCTCAGAGTCCCAGGCCATGAGCAGGTCGCCCGTGCTCACCGGCCTCGTACCTCTCGCCTGGCGCATTTCGGCGGTCCGGCCAGCGCCCAGGGTCCCTTCGATTGTATGCCTGTGGTTGCGGTCACCATACGCGCGGGCATTGCCCATCTCGGCGATTTCCGGCATTTGTTCCCGTTGGACATTGGCGCGCTCCTGATGTCTCTCACGATGGCCTTGGGCGAGTCGAAGGGCCGTCCGCGACAGCTTGCGAACTAGGCCCTTGCTATCCGACATGTTCTCAGCTGTTGTGGTACGAGTGAACTGAGACGCGGCGAATTGAGGTATGAAGTGGTGCCTCTCGACATCAGCGGCTTTACGCCGAAACGAGCCCTTTCCAGCGGACTGAGAGCTGCGGCGATCGTCGTCAGAAGCCTTGGACTTGAGCCGAGCGGAAGTGGGCTCTGCCGTCTCACTGGTGGGCTTCACAACGGGCGGTTCAGCACCAGGTCTGGTAATAGAGTGGCCGGGCTTGAGAGATCCCTTTTCGAGGTATCCTCTGGCTAGGCCGGCGTGGGTTGGATGCGCGTCCTGCGCTTGGGATATCGCAGGCGTCGACCCGGTCGCGGCGGCGACAGTGGCCTCTGCCCTGGTTCTTCGCCTCCTTTCAGCGTGGAGCCTCTGGTCAGCGAGGACCTTGGCGAGCTTTTGGGACAATTCTTCTGGGTCAAAGGGCATCGGCTGTGAGCATCGTTGTCTCGGCCGAGCGGGGGCGACCATGGGCTTGACGGATTGCGCGGCCGGCACCGCGGACTGATCACGAGGGTAGCCCATGTTGTATAACATATCGATCAAAGACGTGCAAGTGCTCCAGAGTAAATCGTGAGGTGGCGTTTAACCGTTGCTGGGTGGTCCGGTCGAGACCGAGAAAGGGAGTATGAAGATGCGTGGCGGAGCTGCTGTCGAGCTGGCGAAGCGAGTATGATCGCCGATACAATTTTGGACGGCGGTTAAGGTTGTTTGCTGGGGAAACAGGGGTGGTCGATCCTCCGCTGGCAACACGGCGGCGGTGGGTTCTTCTCGCTGACGTGAATGACGGCCCGTAGTGCAGTGTGCCGATGAGAAGAGGGAAAGCGGATTCCGGCGAGTGGCCTTGGACGATGGCGGTCTTGGAACCGGGCTATGTATGTGTTATACACGCAAGAACACGCTCCCTTCAAGTTCAAGCGAGGCGAGTCCAGTCGAGTCCAGTCCAGCGTGGGGAACCAGAGCAGTTGATGTGTGTGGGCCGAGAGCTTTCCGGGCCAGGGTCCAATGAGTGCTGTCGCCTGTTGAATGTTCAAGGCGCCGGCCCAGCGTTGCAGCGTGCCTTGGGATGGTTGGCGACGGTGGTAATGGTGGCGGTTGCCCGAGGTATGAGGTGAGTGTGTGAGAAGGGGGTCAGGACGAAGGGAGGTGCGTCGCTAGCCGGCAGGGTCCCAAACAATATGTACCTCACGGGCGAGACCGGCAGGGAACCTCGTGCGCGCACGTTTTGGGAGCAAAGGAGATAGGATGACTTTGGCCGAACTCGGACGACGGAGGAGCAAGAGAGACAACACACGCAGAGAGCGCGAGGAATGCGAGGGCGGCCTAGTGGAGAACGGAGGAAAGAGATGAGAGACACCAGAGGGTTACGGCGGCAGCGGCGTAAGCAAGACAATAGGGAGCAAGGCAGAGAGAAGAATGACGAGGGTGTGTGGGAAGATGAAGAATTAAAAACCACAAGGGGGAGGGGGTGTCAGATGTGTTGAATGTCGAGCGTTCTATAGGTTGTGTTTTCCCTCCTGACAGGTTGTTGACTTGGGGAACTGGCTTGGATGGTGGTCTGGTTCGGATTGGCAGATTGGGCTGTATATTCCTAGGCACGTAAACCGGCCTCTCTCTTCTTCTTTTTTTTTTTTTTTTTTTGACTCTGTACACCATCTAGCCTCCCTATCCTGGCGTGAGTGACATGTTTGGAACATGGAGACCGACCTTGTGTAATTGAAGTTACAGCAAGTGGGGTTGAGAGGTTTGGCCACTTTCTAGCTTCAAGCCTCATGTCCCGTGGAAACCAGAGTTTGCTGGGAGATTTGAAGATGGGGGAATAATAAGAGGGCGCCATATGGGGGAGGGGGCGCCCTTCCTGCCACTCGATGGGCTGCTAGCCGGCACGCGACGCATAGGAAAGCTATCAAACTTGCATACCTACCACCAGCCAGCAAGCAAGCATCTTTCCCCTTCCTTCGTGTCCAGTCCATTTGGGTAGGTAGCGTTTCTCGTCCACCACTCTTTGCGACTTGTGGCTGGCTTATGCTGTGAGCCGGGTTCCGTGCTAGTTATTGTCATTTAACTAGGCACAGCGTAGCATGCATGTAGACGACCCGAGTTTGTGCCGTCTCGGATGACGAGGAGAGCTAGTGGGTGGTGCTGGGGTAGGGGATGGCCACCAAAACGGCCCCGACCATTCCGGAAGCGATCAAGATGGTGACCTGCAAAGGAGGGGATAAGGAAACATGCCCTGTCCTACCACCCTTGGGATGAGCCCTCTGGGTATGGCTCGACCTGGTAAGAGACGCCGCGTTGATCGTCCGAGTTGCGCTGGGACTTTGCCGCCAGTGATCGGATCCCGCTTTGGGACACACTCTCCGGGCTACTGACACGCTTCACCGGTACCTCACGGAGCCGGCTGCGCGTCCGCGACTCCCCTCCTCGAGCACGCTGCCTTCGAACACAGAAGCGCACCTGTCCAGGAGCACTGACAATCTCCAAGCTGGGCGCCCCTATCTCTCTCTCTCTCGCTCGCTCGCTCGATCTCTTGGGGCGCGAAAGTGAAAACAAGCATGCGTTCTCCGGACATGTTTGCTCAACATTTGAGCGGAGATGTGGTGCGGTGCAAGTGGTCGATGCCAACCTTGGCAGGCGTCCTGCCGTACTACCCAGGCGTCAAACGCTCAAGGAGGGCTAGAAGCAGTGGCAGTCTGCCAAAGTACGAAGGGGGTTCAGGCCAAGCTTCCCTAGTAAGCTCCTCACGTGTGGGTGGCTCATGTGTGGCGCGCGACTGCAGAGGCCGGCGCAGATAGTCTGACTTTATATGAGTGTTTGTGGGTGGGTGGAAATGCCACGCTCCTCGACGCCTCCTCCACCCACCGTCCTCCATCAACCCCAGAGAATGGCTGGATCTCTCGATAGACGAGAGCCAAACACACCAAACGCACGGCCGCCCAGCCAGTGGACAGGGGTGAAGTTAGCTTTGGGACCGCTCTGTGCCTCAAAGCGCCAAAAAGCCCCTCGACCAAGGGGGGGGGGGGGACAACCAAACCACGGCGGCTGCCCTTTGCAGTCGGTGATGAGGAACGACTGACGAACTGACGAACCGACGTTGCTTCTGATGCCACAAACGGTGTCGATGGGTATGAAAACGGGATCCATGTTGGATTTATTGGACCGCCGGCGTGAGCGTCCGGTGCTCCGCTAGAGTATCCTCAGCTGTTTCCCGTCCGCGGCAGACCGCCGCGCACTTCAATGTTGCTGCGCGCTCGACCCCTGCGCGATCCCTTCCTAGGTGCAGTTCTCAATCAACGGCGGTATTTCATGTCGAAACCATCCCGGACCAACGCACTTGTCTCGGCTGACGAGGAGACTGGGAGGTTCGCCGGGGCTAGAGATTCTGCATGCCATCCGAAGGGATCGGAAACATTGGCTTTGCTTTCCTCCTTCGTCTGACCCTCGTCATCTCCGAGCAGCAACTTGCACACCGCACCGGACATTGGTTTCCCGAGGATGCTGGCCTAGCACCCTATGTAGTTTTGTGACGTCTGTTTCTTGTAAGACTCGGTGGGGAATAGAGGCTGCTGCGCTTGCTGCGTTTATCTCCATCTCTGACTGCAGTTTGCTGCATGTGCTGCATGTGTCGTCCTCGTATCGGCCTCCATGCACCGCTTTACGAAGGACTAACTGGCTTGTCATATCGTACGGCTTGGCGATGCAACAACAGCTCTAGCCTGCTCTGACGGTAGGCAGCACTACTATTGGACAGGTATCTATGGTAGATACCTAACCTGCGAAGTACATGCATAATAGTACCTACGGCGCACGAACTCCACAAGCCAGTTCACTCGCTGCGATGCTGGCGCGGCAAGACGCTTTGTGACGCCACAGCTGCAAGTATTGGAAAGAGGTTGGTTGGTGGCTTTAATCTGCACATTTGACCAATGCCACAGTCACGCCGCTTATCGTCCAGCTGACAGCGCTGTTGAAGGCATTGCCAGCCTGCTCTCCATGCCAGCTGATGGGCAAGTCCAGAGGCGCGGCAGCTACTGAGAGATGATTCGATCGGGCTTATGCCTCATTCATACAGTATTAATGCAGGCACACGACCAAAGGCAGGGCTTCTCGAGTGGGTGACCGCGGCCAGAAGGTAATCCACCACGTTGTTTCCACTGCGATCCGTGCGCGTGTTGACTGTCGATCATTAGGACATCTGCGTAGCAGGATGCCCATCATGGGCAGATGGTGGATTTTGAAGGTTTGTGCGGCATTGGCGCAAGGCATGAGATACAGATTGTCGGACAGACAGACAGTCTTGGTAGCATCGCTACGACCCGTGCCCGCGTCTGACAGAAGTTTATCCGTACTTGGGCTTGACAGTTTAAGGCCAAGCAGCTGGACTGAAAAATGGATCGACGAGCCGGCTTCGACCGAAGCTGCCTGCCGGGTGGAATACCACGTCCCGAGTTAGCGGAAGCCTCAGGACGTAGGCCCAGGTTTCTCATCCTGGAGAACCGTCCATCCCCAACGTCTCCGAAGCTCAGTGGTCTGGGGGTCCAGGTTCGGAAGTTATGACTCGTCTCGTTTTTGAGGCAAGCAGAGGCTCGCTAATGCCATTCTGTTATAGGACACGGGGCCTGGAAGAATTCGGCGGCTGCGTGTGTCGAGAGGACGACGAGTTGACGGTGGCAGAAACAGCGGCCTGAACCTAGTGATGGACATGTTAGGGTAGGTCTTGATACGGACGTCGATGACCGGGATGCTGGAGAACCATGGCACCAGCCGGCCTGCGTCATCTTGAGAGATGGTCGGCATCCGTGGCCACGGCAGTCGTATTGTGGTTGGCAGGAGTACTCCGTATATGTATTCGAAAACCTGAGTGGGCGATGGCAAGCTGGAGAGGAAGAGAGCTGGGTACGTCGTCGGCGGACGATGAGAGGATGTATGTCTGTATGGCGACAGTAGGTGCCTAGGGACAGTAGGGTTATCAATACCGGATGTAGCCTGGCATGCCCATCATCGAAATCATGTCATCTAACTAAGGTTTCCAGACCGCCAGTTCATGTTAGTCACGATGAGAGACCGGAGTTAACCCCGGGACCCGAAGGGTAAAGGAAGTAGGTAAGCAGTATCCGTACATTTGAATGAACATCAAGACAGGCCAGTTGTGGGATACATGCTCATAATACGGACACCTCCCCTCCCTATCCCACTACCTACCTACCTACCTGCTCGGCAGGGGGGTTCTGGACAGTGCCGGGTTCTTACCTCCAGCTAGATATATACGGTACATGTTATCAATTTTCGTATAATGTATATAGAAAGATGTGTGTAATCCCGTTTCCTTTTTTTTGTCTCTGTTGGCATACGGGTGGTATGCTCCGGGGAGGTGGGTCACGTGATATTCACGTGACACACCGCCATCCCCGGCAGTATCCACCCTTCCCCTACAACAAGGGGATGCCACCAGTAGGTGCTCAGAAGTCTAGATACAACAAGCAACAACTACACCACGATCCTATCACATATGTATATGTGACCTCGGGATATCCCTTTGAGTGATAACCAACAGTCTCTGAATCTACTCCCTTCTCCGAGTCTATAAAAAGCCTGGAAATACAGTATACTCGCTGATTGGACGGCTAAAACCCGGCTCGCCCACTGTTGCGGTGCAGATGCTGTGCTGGGACCTCCGCGGCCTGGCACCTGCTCTCTGCTTTCCCATCCAGTCGGTCAAGGTACCTATTCATATCTCGGTAGGTGCTTAGGTACTTTGTGCCGCACAAGGTGGGTAGGCCGTGTTCACCCAAGTGTGTACGGATACTCCGTACAGGTATCCGTATTAATGTACATAGGTACAATGTATGTTTGTGTGTAAACAGTGGACTCGAACCTTGACCATTTCTCCGCTTTTTGCTCCGTTTTCGTTCCATTATCTGCCCTGTCGCTGCGAACCTGGAGGCCCTATTCAGCTTTGCCCATCTGCTGCGTTTTCCACCGATAGGAATTGCAGACACGTTTGTTTGTGCTTGCAAAGTCCTGTATCCACACACACACACACACTCTCTCTCTCTCTCTCTCTCTGTCTCTCCACTCTACCTACATCCTTAGGCTTGTCCCTGGCCCAGTGACCCTGATCACCGCGGCCCTTTCCCGCTCTTCCGTTCGTGTTTCGATCAGTGTCTGTCTCCTCCTTATACTCTCATTCCACTACTCCCCCCTTTCCCTTGTCTCATCTTAGTGTAGGTACTCAGTTCTTGGACAAGTCCTGTCCGGACCAGCGTATCCGTAGTCTAGGGTTCATTAATCAGCAGCCCAACATACCTAGTAACGTACGTAAGTAGCCTGCCAACCCAACCCCTCCCCATCCCTCCCCCGGGAGGCAAAGGAGTAGAAAGAGGGCCCGCTGTCGTATAACACCAAGGCGTCATCTATTGTTGTTGGTGTCGCCCTTCATTGTACCCGTCGACCCCCTAGTCAGTGAGAAAGAGGAAGGGCAAACCACACACCATCCACCATAAAACATGCCAGAGCACCGCTCCAGATCCGGCTTTGCACTTGCAACTGGTGCCGCTGCTAATGCCCGCCATCGTGATTGTCCTTCCTCAAGCTTAGAGGGAAGGGGACAGGAGTCCTGGACCTAGATGCGCGACTGATCTCATTTGCTGTGCCAGCATCTTCGACCGCCGCTCCCATCCCCGTCACCCCTCCGAAGCCCGATATCTGCCCACCAGTGGAGCTTTTAGCGAGGGAGGGGCAGAAGAGGAAGAAGAAAAGAAGAAGAAGAAGGCCCCCTTTTTGACCCCTGGTCTGCCGCACCACCACGCGAAGCTCTATCCAGTCCTGTTCCATCCGTACCTTGCTTGTGCTATTCAAGACACACACACACGGTACCGGGCGGATACTCTTCGTCCCTGACCTGACGAGCCGCAGGACCCGTCCGTGGTGTACCCTACACCGTACCTTGCCCAGTCATCCGTGAAGGTGGTTCCTCACCTGGTTTACGAGCAAGGTACGCACGAGGCCGATCACACTATGAACGGCCCCGGTGGGTTTTCCATGCCTCCCTTGAGGCTCTGGAATCCCGACCTTTAGTCAGTGCATCCACCGTCCCAAAAGTCTGGTTTTCACTCAACGTCCGCCGGCCTGCTGCCCTCTCTGTCTTTTGTTTTGTCTGGCTTTGGCCTTTTTCAAAATCCCTTCTTTGCACGGTTGTATGTCTGCCTCCCCCGAATAGCCTCTACCGCCCCCGGTCGTGGCCATGGCGTCCGATCGCATGGGAGCTCCCAAGGCTCACAGGAGTTCAGAAGGCTCCCACATCCCCCCGAAACACTACTACGCCGAGAGATCCACCGCCGCCGACGCTGCAGCCTCATCCTTCTCCTCCTCCTCCTCCTCCCCCTCCTCCCGAAGAGCCGGCCGCGACGCTGCCCACCGATCTGCCCCGGCTGCCCCCAAGAGACACACTCCCCATTACGCCGTCCACCGAGAGTCGTCCATCGAGCCCTTGCGCCCTTCCGGACAGCCCGCCTCTCATCGCGACTCGATTGTCTCCATTGTCGACGACCCCTTTTTCCTGCGCTTTGACGACCACAACATTGAGGCAGCCCTTGCGTTTGACTCGCGCTGGGCCACGGCCACCCTCGGCGACCCGGACGAAGCCGACGACGCAGCCGAAAAGGACGAAACTGTGGGCCACATACACGACCAAGAAGAACTCACCTCTGCTGACTTGCCGCTCCGCGATGACGACACGCCCAACCAGCGCTGGCCACCCCCAAGAAGAGAGTCGTTGATAATAGGACATTCCTTGTACTGGGTAACGTTGCCCCACCAGACGCAGACTGCGGGGTAGCTGATTAGACGGGGTGTGGAAAAAAGGGGCTGACGATCATAGCAACCACCAACCTCCGCCATCATGGAGAGCCTCAACATCGCAGTCATTGGCGCGTCGGGCGTTGGCAAGTCATCCTTCGTCCAGCGCGTGCTAGGCCTATCGCGACCTCCAATCACAAACGCCTCGAGCGTGCGCATGGTCGTTGACAATGTCACCTACGGCGTCACCCTGATCGAGCTGGACCTCGAGTATTTCGAGCTGAACCCGTTGCAGCCTATCCAGTGGCCGAAGCAGATCAACGGCCACATCGTCCCGCGCGTCGATGGCGCCCTCATTCTCTTTGATGTCATGAACAAGGAGAGCATGAAAGAGCTGCCCCAGACCATTGGTGAGAGCCCCGACACGATCCGCTTCGACGCGTCGCATCGCATCGCATCACACCACGCTAACTTTGCGCTAGCTGCGTTGACCAAGTCTGGCCTTCCTGCAGTCCTCGTCGCCAACAAGTGCGACCATCCAGAGAGCGAACGGCAAGTCGATTCGCAACGCGTCGCAAACCACGAATACTTCAAGTCGTGCGTCGGGGTGTTCAACCTCTCGACGAGCAGCCCAGAACGGGCCAGGGCTTGCCTAAACACGACGCTGAAAGCCGCCATCGCTAATCGCAAGGGTAATCTGAGTCCCGAATTCCGATGCATCGCACCGCACCGTCCGACGTAATACTGACTGATTGCACGGCCAGAATCACAATCGGAATCTGGCATGTCCCGCCGCCGTGCAGCCTCGGCAGCCAACCTAGAGGCCCACGACGGCTCCAACGGTCGGCCGCTAAGTCAGCACAGTAAACATAACCGAGCGAGCTCTGATTTGTCGCTCCTTCGAGGCGTTCCCCCTCCCATCCCCGACCACCTGCGCGGCCCACTACCTGCAACCGACTTTGGTGGTGCGCCATCCAGCTCGGGCTCCTTCGGAGCATCGGAAACCATCGAAGAAGAGTCTCAGCAAACCGTGTCGAGCCAGTTACGGACACCCGGCATTCGTCTCGACCGCGGACCAGCCGACTCATTCTTGGACATGGAGGAGTCGGATGGCGACTCGTTTCGCTACTCGGACGAGATTCCCATCCTGCAACGGAGCGATGAAAGCTTTCTCGAGAAGCCGGCCAAGTCTGCCGGCGTGGCATTCGACGAGCTCGTCGACCGGCTAATTGCTCCGCGCATGACCAAGGCCGACAATAATTTCTCCGACGTTTTCCTCTGTCTCTACCGCAAGTTCGCCGCGCCTGGCGAGCTATTCTCGGCCATTCTCATGCGACTTGACCGCGTCAGAGATGACAAGTCGGCGCATCATCTATCCAAGACGGCGACACAGCTAAGGATCATAGAGGTCGTCGCCAAGTGGGTCTCCTTATATCCTGGAGACTTTGCACGGCCGGGGACACGGCGGGACCTGGAAGAGTTCATCAGGCACCTCTCCACCGAGCCCATCTTCTCGATCGCGGCCCAGCAAATCCGCCGACACCTCGAGCACAGCGTGGTGGAGGACGACGATACCGGCTGGGCCAAGTCGGATGAACTGGCGGACGAAGAGGGCCTATCCAGAGACAAGACGCTATCCACGCCCGACGTGTCCAACGGGATGATCAGCCTCAATCTTGACGACGACAAGCCGAGCGACGAACGACCGTCGGGCAGCTCCGACTTCCCCCTCGTCGACAGGACCAGCAGCGTCGGAACACACGTCTCGTTCCACTCATACGACGACTACGAGAGAGAAGCGGCGAACATGGAGCCCACCGATGTGCTGCCCATGAACAAGTTCCGTTACCACATCTTCATGGACATTTCGGACGACGACATCGCCGACGAGATGACGCGCATCGACTGGGTCATGTTCTCGTCCATCCGCATCAGAGACTTTGTACGGCACGTGAGCCTGTCGTTGGATCAACGGTCCAAATGCAAGAGCCTCAAGAACGTCAATCGGATGATCAACCACTTCAATCACGTGGCCAAGTGGGTTGCCAACCTCATCCTGTTGCGGGACAAGGCCAAGCACCGGGCCCAGATGCTGGAAAAATTCATGAACATTGCGCAAAAGCTGCGGCGGCTCAACAACTACAACGGGCTCGCGGCAATCCTCGCAGGCATCAACGGCACCGCGGTGCACCGGCTGTCTCAGACATGGTCATTGGTGCCACCCGAGTCCCAAAAGTCGTTTGCCAAGCTGGGCATTCTCATGGGTACACAGAAGAGCCACTTCGCATACCGACTGGCATGGGAGAACTCGCCGTTGCCCCGGATACCGTATATCCCACTACACCGGAGAGACCTGGTGTCGGCCGAGGAGGGGAGCAAGACATTCGTAGGGCCCGACGGCGACAGGGTCAACTGGAAGAAGTTTGAAGTGCTCGGCGAAGTCCTGCTGCCTCTCATGAAGAGCCAAGGAACAGCGTACCCGAACCTCTCGAAGCATGAGGCAGCGCGAGAGCTGATTTTGGACTGCAGAATGCCGACAGACGAAGAGGTGAGCGAAATGGGCGCGGCGGGTCATGTCAGGATAACGCTAACGAGAACGTCACAGGAGATCTACCAACGCAGTGTCCAGGTCGAGAGCACTGCGGGGGGCGGGACCGACTTCAGCAAGAAGAAGTTCCCCTGGTTTGCCAAGTAGAAGTTGGCGAGCCAGCGGAGCATGTCGGTGGGAGGGGGAGGGGCGGCTCTAACGGGTGGTGCATAGCAGCGGACCGCATACCTAGACACGCACGCCAATGGCGTAACGTTCCGGGACAGCTTGGTCGGCGTCCACACAAGGCGCGGCTCGCGCGACACATGTGGGTGCATGCAGGAGTGTATAAACAAAGACGGATTCATGCAGCATTGTGGAACTGGTTCAACATTGGAGGCGATTTGGCTCGGTTTCGGCGATATAGATATCCTGTTCAGCAATTGATACCGAGGCCATGACGGCCTCGTCATTCCTCACGAGATTCTGGAGTCGGTTTTTCTTTTAATCGTATTTATTTTATCTTATTTTAGAGGCCAACTGCCGGGCTCTCCTGGTCATGCCCGTTCATCTCAATATTAGGCCGAGGAAGCTCTTTAGCCGTACTGGGGAGAGTCGGCTTGATGGTCCCCGTTCGGCACCACGTTTTTCTTGCCTCTTACAACGGCAGCCATGTCGAGAAAAGAAAGAAAGAAAGAAAAAATAGCTGGTGGGGGGCAGGGGAAGGGCCAAAAAAGAAAAGAAGGAATAGCAAAACAAGAGCAAAAGAAACGAAGCACTTCATCGGCGATCCATGGGCACTTCACTTCCCCTGGTCGTTCGGTGCGGTCCAGGCCACGGCCGATGCCAGCGACGGCCCAATGCATTGCTAGGTGGCCGGCGAAGAAGTGCCTCGCTAAGTTGGAATGAGGTACGCTAGAGCTGGTTGACGTCATGCTTCTGAAGGCTCTGATTTTAGCGTTTCAATGAGAGGGGCAGCAAGGGGAGAAAGACAGCTGCAATGTTGGAACCGACGGGGGACAGCGGGCGGGATCACATAGAGAGATGTGAGGTGATGGCATCCTGCGAAGTACCTACCTAACCTACCTACTTACAAACCCACCTACCTACATCGTACCTACCTACCATCTGGCGGAGTGCGGAGTAGTGTCCGTGCGATACATGGGGCTCGGGCATTGTCAGGAGCTGCCATGGCAGTCTGATTGCTTGCTCGGTTGCTACTGCTTCTGGTTCGAGGAGTGGAGGTGGAGGAGAGGGGGGGGGGGGGGGGGGTGACTGGAGTCGAGCTGGATGCTAGAGGTAGTGTACGGATACCTACCTACCTACCTTATTTGGTAGGGAAGGTAGGTAGGCATTCCACATGGGCAAACGAAATGGCATAGCTCGAGTGCCCCGCGGTCGCCCCCTCAACCTTGGCTGCGGCGGCACGTAGTGCACCTTCGCCAACAACTTCGCGCCTATCTGATAACTTCCCCGACTCGCGGTAGGTAGGTCTAGCTCTGTTATCGTCCGACTTGGTTGGCTGCTGCTAATGCTTGCTGCTGGCCAGGTACAGTACTAATCATGTACATACTAACGACGCTATCTAGGTATGCCGTGGGCCCGTCCATACCTACCTAGGTTATGTATGTCCCAGCCCGGAGAGCTCTTTGCTCATCATACCCAGGTACCTACAGTGAGCGAGTGAGGCACATTAACTGTATGCTTCACTTTTTATTTTTATTCTTATTTTTCTCCTTCCTCTTTCTCTTCTTCACGCTCCCATTGCTCGCTCTACCTTCCAATCCCCCTCTTTCTCTCTTCAAACACTACTACTGCAGTATCGACGTCCCCCCTCTGCTCTGCTAGCTCGTTGAAGCTGGCCGCCTGCCGCTGAAGCCATCGTGATACGTGACGTGCACTGCCGGCCGAGCTGTTTTTAGTGCCATTGCTGGGGTGTCTGGCACTTACTAAAGGTCACCTCTGTCCCGATCCCGCACTTCGTCCCAGAGCAGAACCTTTCACCCTCATCTCTCGCCACAAAAAAAACCCCCACAAACCTCTTCCCGTTTCCTCCCTCCTTTGCAATTCCCTCATAACCCTTCTTCACTTGCCTGCACTTGTTGTGACGGCCTTGCTGCCTGCCACCTCGCCTGTGCTCCCCGCGGTGTGCCAATTCGACGCGACCGTCACCACCCACCACTATGGTTGTCTTTGACGGACACGAGTACCTTACTGAAGAGGAGAAGCGCCTCAGACAGGACAGGAAGCGCGAGAAGTACTGGAAGAAATGGGGTCCCTACGTCGCTGAGCGCCAATGGGCTACCGGTGAGTTGCAGCTGTGCTGCTGCTGCTGCTGCTGCTGCTGCTGCTGCTGCTGCTGCCGCTGCGGTTGCAACCAGACCAATTGTAACAAACGTCATCTAATCAGTGCCGTGTCGCAGTGCGAGAGGACTACAGCCCCGACGGGGACGCGTGGAGTCGTGAGGATACCCCGCCATTCCCCACGATGGGCCCCAATGCTGACACGAAGCCCCAGACTTTACCCATGACGACGCGCGATCCCGAGCCTACAGATGGGGTGAGGATGGAATTGCGGGCGTTTCCGACACCCACGGCTTCCAGAACCTAGGCTTTGCTTTCTGGAACGAGCAAGAGTGAGCCGGGCCGCCTCGCGAGTCTTTATGTAGCTTCACCTGCTGACAATGTGACGAGTGATTTCCTCAAGGAGAGACTGTTTGGTCTCTCGAACCCGCAGGGCAACCATGGCGAGAGTATCAAGGAAGCCCACTTCCACGTCGACAACACACCTGTAAGCAGCGCCAAGCCGCCCTCATACCCGCAACCCGATTGCTAACAGACAGTCTAGACGGTAAGCTCTCAATGGCCGGCCTCGCATTGCGCGCGCGTACTGACCATTGCCCTCAGCACTCTTACATGAAGTTCCTGTACAAATACCCGCAGAAGAAGTTCCCCTATAAGGACCTCCTGGACGAGAACGCGAGGAGAGGCAAGGAGGACAAGGAGTACCAGATTGTCGACACAGGCGTCTTTGAAGAAGACCGGTACTGGGACATCTTCATTGAGACAGCAAAGGAGACGGACGACCCCGAAGAGATTCTCTTCCGTGTCACCGCGTGGAACAGAGGCCCCGACCCGGCACCGCTCCACATCGTGCCGCACATGTGGTTTCGCAACACGTGGGCTTGGGGCCGCGAGCCCGAAGACAAGAAGCCGTCCATCGAGCACCTTTCCGAGGGGCTGGCCAAGTCTAAGCACCACTCGCTGGGAGAACGCTACTTCTTGATGTCGCCCTCTCCTGGCGTAGGCACTAGCGGGGAGGACGTTCTCCCCAAGATGATGTTCACTGACAACGACACCAACTACGAGCTGTTGTACGGACAGAAGAACAAGACCCCCTACGTCAAGGATGCCTTCCACCGGTATATCTGCGAGGGCGAAAAGGAGGCCATCAACCCCGAGGAAAAGGGCACCAAGTGCGCCGCCTGGTTCAGCTTCAACGAGGACGGCGGTGTCCCTCCTGGCGAATGCGCCGTCGTCCGTTTCCGCTTTTCCAAGAAGAACCAGACCTACTTCGACGAAGGCGACTTCGATGACCTGATTGATCTCAGAATCGCCGAGGCCGACGACTTCTACTACCGTCTCAGCCCCCTCCCCATGGCCGATGACCTCCGCAACATCCAGCGCCAGGCCTTCTCCGGCATGATGTGGACGAAGCAGCACTACCTCTTTATTTGGGACCAGTGGGCGAATGGTGACCCGACGCAGCCCCCTCCACCCCCGAGCCGCAAGGATATTCGCAATTCTCAGTGGAAGCATATGCACTGCGACGACATCTTGTCGATGCCCGACTCCTGGGAGTACCCCTTCTTCGCCGCCTGGGATAGCGCGTTCCACTGCATCACATTGGCCATGATGGACCCGGACTTCGCGAAGAAGCAGCTCGACCTTTTCACGAGAGAGTGGTACTGCCACCCCAACGGTCAATTGCCGGCGTAGGTTGATTCAAAACTGGGCGAGGTCGAGATGGGCGCTAACTCGGTTCAGATACGAATGGAACTTTGGCGACGTGAACCCCCCTGTTCACGCTTGGGCCACGTTTCGTGTGTTCAAGATTGAGCGCAAGCTTTACGGACGCCAGGATCTGGATTTCCTCGAGAGGGTGTTCCAGAAGCTGTTGTTGAACTTCACCTGGTGGGTCAACCGCAAAGACGCCGAGGGCAAGAACGTCTTCGAGGGAGGCTTCCTCGGTCTCGACAACATTGGTCTCTTCAACCGCTCCGAGCCTCTCCCCACCGGCGGCTCTCTGGAGCAGGCTGACAGCACTGGCTGGATGGCCTTCTACTGCCTCAGCATGCTCAACATTGCGCTTGAGCTGGCGAAGCACCGACGGACATACGAGGATATCGCGTCCAAGTTCTTCGAGCACTTCATCTTCATCAGCGACGCCATGACTTTCAGGACCGGCCAGAAGGACGAGAAGTCTCTGTGGAACGACGAGGATGGCTTCTACTACGACGCCATCTCGTGGGGGGGTCCCTGGATCCAGCAGCTTCCGGTCCGGTCCCTCGTCGGCCTGATACCACTCTACGCGACCCTGACCCTTGAGCCTGAGCTGATTAACAAACTGCCTTCGTTCAAGAAGCGGGTAGACTGGTTCATTGAGAACCGCTGCGACCTGGCCGAGAGAAACATGGCCAGCATCGCCAAGCGCGGTAAGGGCAACAGAATCCTGTTGTCCATCGTCAGCAAAGACAGGCTCGAGAAGATTCTCTACCGCATGCTCGACGAGAAGGAGTTCTTCAGTGAGCATGGTATCCGATCATTGTCAAAGTACCACAAAGAGCACCCGTTCTCGATGGAAGTCAACGGGCAGACGTTCTCCGTCGGCTACGTCCCCGGTGACTCCGACAGCGGCCTCTTTGGCGGCAACAGCAACTGGAGAGGCCCCATTTGGTTGTGCGTCAACTTCCTCCTGGTCGAGTCTCTCCAGAGGTTTTTCCTGTTTTACGGACACGAGTTCCAGGTTGAATGTCCCACTGGGAGCGGTGATTACATGCATCTGGGTCACGTTTCCGAGGAGATCCAGCACCGGCTGCAGCATCTGATGACCCGCAACGACGAGGGCCGCCGCAGCATCAACGCCGGTAACGACCTGCTCGACTTCGACCCCCACTGGAAGGACTACCTCTGGTTCTACGAGTTTTTCGATGGCGACAGCGGTCGCGGGCTTGGAGCCACGCACCAGTGTGGTTGGACTGGCTTGATGGCCCGAATGATCCACGACACCGGGTAAGCACGACACCTGCCGCAGCCATTAGGACTATGCTAACATTATTCCAGTATCAACTGCCGTCTGCCTCATACTCCCCGAACTCCCTCGGCTGGAATGTCGCACTACTTTGATGACATATTCGCTCGCGGCACTCGCGGCTCCATGACGCCGGGCCCCGGTGGCAAGCCTCGAATGCGGAGGTCGTCCACAGCAAGGTCCATTGGCGCGAGGAGCGATTTTGATGAAACCAACGGCGATGACTCGCTGAGCAACTCGACCATGCTGGACGACCCTGAGAAGCTCCGCCAGAAGATGAGGGAGCAGTCGGAGGCAGACGCACATATGCACCAATACATCTCGGACCAGCTCGAGCGGTTCAAGGAAGACAAGGAGCATGTGAATGGAAAAGACAACGAGTATGAGGCTGGCGCCTAGATTCCAAAGAAGGCAGACGGTCACCAGGCAGGCGGTGAACCGTAGAGCGTTTATGGGTTTCCTTGCGTACGACTGACGACGAAAACTGCGACCAGTGCACATAGAGCCATGTACAGGACTATTAGACTGCAGAGGTAGATTTATGCACACCTAGGTAAACTTAGAATGGATGAGGCTTCCATGACATGATGCTGCTGTGTACGTCGTGCTTCTGTTAGTTGCCAAGGGATGGCACAGAAGCTGGGTAGTCTCCCTGCCAGCTTATGCCCTCGCCACAATGCAAGGCGGTCATGCCCAGACAAGTACATTCATTGGCATATGCTTGAACGGGAGAGACCCTCGAGTAGAGCCTGGTGGTGATTCGTTTACACGACGTCGGCGATGGAAGTCATGCATAAGCCGCTACACGTCCAACGAGCGAAGAAAGCCGGGTTACTGACGAGCGTCGGTACTCAGTTTAAAGGGTGAGCCTATGTCTATGAGATCCAACCCAACCGAACCCCCCCACCCTTTTCCCCCTATCCAGAAAGCCTGTTCGTCTTTTCTTCTTCTTCTTCTTCTTTCTGAGTGTTCTCTGGACAGTGTGACGAGATCTTGTCTGGGAAGATGAGAAGGTTCGCGCGTCATCATATCCTCCCGCGGCTCTAGTAGAGCCGCGCCTTGCTCTCATGCAGCGTACTAGAGTCAAAGAACACAAGGTGCGAGAGAGGAGCTGCTCCATCCCCACGCATTCAGGCCTGGGGGCCCGGCACACTGCGCCCCTGGCCCCCGCGGTGCTTGTCCATAACGCACCAGCAAAGTCACGGGCGGAGAGGCATGGGCTGGATGGACTAAAGGCGGGACGTTTGTGCTCAGAGTGTCGTGAATGCTTCTATTGTAGACTGTGCACAGCTCGTCTTCGTTCGCACCTCCGGAGACAAGATGAACAGGCTCATCCCGCCCCCTACCTCTCTCGGTTAGGGAGGGGCTGAAACCTCATCATGCAAGCTTCGCGGCCTCCGCCGGGAAGGGGTTTCCTGTGACGAGAACCGCGATATGCCTTTCTCACAACGTTGACGCCCTGTAGCAGCACACGTCCCACTCTCCGCAACCCCTCCCTTCCTCTGGTCAAGTTTACAAGAGACACAAACACACACACACACACACACACACACACACACACACACACACACACACACAAATAGAAGAAAGGGAGGTTTGGTGGGGTGATTAGAATTCAGCTAGTCGGTTTCTTTCATGGCTAGTTTGTGTCGGCAGGATGGGTTGTTTTACAAAGTGTCGGTGAGGAGCTTGTTAAGCTTAGCGATCTTGGCGGAGACGCTGAGGTCGATGGTCCGGTCGCCGATCTCGACGATGAGACCTCCAATGATGTCGGGGTTGACCTGGGATGCAGTGTTAGTTCGGGAGTGTTCAGAAAAGAAGGGTATGTCTTCACTCTGGGACCAGAGTCCTGCCTCGGAGGAGAAGAAAAAGAAGAAGAAGCAGAGGATGCTGATGGAGGGCGGCAGATCTTCGTACCTGGTTGGTGACCTTGAGCTTCTTGCCAGCGCCGGCGTAGGCGGACTTGGAGATGGCACTCTCGAGGCGGTTAAGGGTCCTGTTGTCGAGTTGCTGGGACGGTTGTCAGTCACTGCATTCCGACGTTCGTTACTCCAGCCGCATATCCCTCTCCGGAACTAATGCCTCGTCATATCGCGCCCTTTCTAAGACTAAATAAAGGCTGACTGGTAGACGAGGCAATCTCCCGTGCCGTGTCCGATCAGTGGAGGGAAGTCGGTCATAAAGTCATATCGGGTGGAACGGGCCCCATCTTCGGATCTCAAAAACGTACCGTGGCGCTGGTGACGACGAGCTCGACCTCACCGCGGGCGGCGCTCATGATCTCGGCGAACTTCTGCGTGATACCGGGGAGGAGACCAAGGCGGTTGTTCTCAGCGAGGGCGGCAAGGAAGTTCTTGACGGTCTGCTGGGAAGTGGCGCCGGCCTGCTTGGTGAGCTCGGCGACGATGGCGTCCTTGTCCTCGGGGGTCAGAGTGGGCGCGGCCAGGACGGTGGCCAGCTTGGGGTCCTTGGCGAAGATGGCCTCGAGGGTCGAGAGAGCCTTGGCCGTGGGGTCGAGCGAGGAGGATTTGGTCGCCGCGGTGTACTGTTGGAAATCGACGCAGTTAGCCTTTTCGGTTCATATTTTTTTTTCTCGTATTATTCCCTTTCCCCAATTGCCTTTCTCCCTCTTGACTGATATCCCGCAGTCCGTCCCGGTTCCTCTTCAATTGGATCCAATTGAACCCCCGGGAATTCTCGCAAATGGGCAGGGGCGTACCAGGGCAGTGGCGTAGGTGCCGTCAAGGCCAAAAACGGCGACGGGGGGCTTGACGTTGTCGGAAGCAGCCGAGGAAGCAGCAGCGGCGTAGGTACGGACGGCCGGGACGCGGGCGGAGGCGACGAGGCGCGACGCGGGAGCCGCCGCGCGGAGGGAACGAACAGCCTGTCTCGAGAACATGTCGGGAGAGGGTTTGTGTGGTGGCGGTGGTGGTGTTCAATTGATGGGAGACGGGCGGAGGGAGGAATGGCTGGATTCGAAGAGGGCCGGAGATGGTAGCTTGCGTTCGATTTTCGAGGTTGAGGTTTGAACTTCGGCAATTTGGTATATTGGTGCCTTGGATATCAGGTTTTCTAATTCTGGATAGCTGATGAGGCACCAACTTAGTTAGGTAAGCGGGTCGGGTTCAGGCTCGGTGGAAATCGGAGCTGGTCGTTTGTCGTTCTTGCTCGCACCACAGCAGTCCCCACCTCGATTGACGTCTCGCATGCCGTCGTGGGCATGAAATTGTATACGCGTGCACCTGGTTTACACTGCAAAACGGTCATTGTCAATGTTTCATTTCAACCCAAAGCCGTGTTTCCCATAACCCTGTGTGTAATCTACAGCAATATCACAGCAACCGCGTCCCAGCCTGTGTCCCCAGGCTCAGCGGTGTCAAAGCCCAACGCGCCAGTCATCAGACCTTTCTGATTACCTCGCCGATTGGCGTGCCATCCCTGTTCCCCAAACGCCCAGACAATGCATACAAGTACATCTTGAGAGCCGGCCTTGGTCTGGCTCAATCGCTTTCAATCATCTTCTCGGCAAGATCGTTCAGCGGGCCGTAAAAGTCCTTCCCACTCGCGAGCTTGTGCTCGTCAACAAAGAGCACGTACTGCTTGAAGCTCGTGTTGAGGTGGGGCTCCAGGCCGAGTTCTCGGATGACGGCGTAGTGGTGGCAGTAGACGTGGGCGTACACTCGATACATGCGCTTGAAGATCTGTCGCACAGTCGACGGAAACGACTTGGGGAAGGGTACGCCTGTGTCCGTGGTTAGTAGTTCCCTCTATATCCCAGGGAAGTCGCTACGAACCAATCCTGCTCGGCAGGATCTGCTCGTCGTCAATGTGTCTCTGCACCCAGGCCATCAGGTGCTCGATGTAGTCTGGGGCGGCCATCTTGGTAGGTCTCTTGTAGTTTTCATTGTCCTGCCACAGGTACTCGAACTCGTCAGTCGCTTTCATCTCAGGGCACGACTGAGGCGAGCAGAACTCGGTAATGGCGCCGTAGAGGAGATTGATCTGGTTGTAAAAGTCGACCACTACAGGCCAAACCTGTTAGTCGCAGTTTCCCCTTGTTCGATCCGCCCTGCGCTGTGAGAAGGCTTACTATTGACTGCCATCCACTCGTTCTCGTCTTCCCCCTCAGGCAGTTTCACGACTTTGCGCAGGCTGCCTCCTCCGAGCGTCGCCTCGGCGTATTGCCGCAGCGCGACACCATTGTTCGCTCCCTTGACGGTGCGCGCCCGGAACTGGTTCCTAGCCGCCTTCTGGTTACTGTCCTCAGCGCAGTCGTCGTCAGCAGCTATCAACACCGGTTTGGGAATCTGAGGCTCGGAGCGGTTGATGACGGTCAAGTCCCGACCGATAGAACCGCCTCCGTGACTGCGAGGAGGATCCGGCACTGCTGGCGGTGCGACGGGAGGCTGTAGCGGTGGTATTCCCACCAGCAGGCCCGTTCTCACGCTGAGGTACTGCAAAAGAGATATCATGGGGGAACGCCAAGAGTAGTACTGACACTGTAAGACCCGCGACTCTATCCATGGTGGGCGGTGGGTTTTATCGAATCGCACACTGAAAGAGGTTCGTTGTTGAACACCGTCGTCGATGGCTGCCCATTCCAGTGGTTAGCGGGGTAATGGGATAATTGAAACCTAGAGGCGCTGAGAGATGGTATTGTTATTAAGGGACGTACCAGATGACCTGATGACGTCGTAGAATGTTGTTGAATTTCAATGACCGGTTCGCACGACCTGGGAAGATTCGTCGTGGAAGAATAATGCCGGCTTGAGAAGTTGAAGGTTCTACGATGCGCACGCGCTGTTGGTTGTTTTGGGTGACATGAGGCAAGGTGCTTGTGAAAGGGTCCCCCCTACACAGCTGCGTGGAAGGGATGAGTGATGTTTATGCGCTTGCCCAATCAGGCCGGTTGCTGGGCTGCAGATGCCGGGCTGGTGGGGAAACTGAGCCACAGACGGTCCCATGCTATTGTGGCTGGAATTGCCCAAGATGCATGGTACTCCTCCGTGTCCCGCAATGACGGACAGTCGGTTCCCGGAGACCAGGACCCAGAGTGACGGAAGCGCCATCTTCCGCAACGACGGTACAGGGACGGCTGGCACCACGTAGGCCGGAGCTGGGATCCGCCCCAGGACCTGAGAGAGCCTTGCAACTACAACAGTACCCTGTATACGATTTAGTCACTTACCGAACCCTTTTCCTTGCTGACGTTTCTTCTACGCGATAAAAAGCCAATCCTGGATTGATGGCCTTGGCCTGCCGGGGGATTCAATAGCGCTCAGCTTCAAAGTGGAGACGAACTGCAAACCTGTAATGATCCCCGCACTCAGTTCATCCCTTCCCCTCATCGTTCCTCCACTTCAAAAGCCTAGGAAGTTGGCATTCCTGTATGGCGCACCGCTGGTGTTCTCGGTGTGGACGACCCCAAGTTCACGCTGAAAGTTGACGTAGTCTCAAGTACAGTGTGATTGAAAAGTACCAGTCATGCGTGATCGAGCTGTCCGTCTTAACCTTCCACGCACGCTGAATAACAAGTTTGGCGCACCCTTACCGGCGTCGTCAACCTGCCAGATATGCATCAGTCACGCCCATTCAGACCAGGGCCTATCTTGCTCACACGATGTCGCAGTATCCCGTAGAAGTGCACTCAGCATCAGACCATCGTCCTCAAGGCAAGTCGAAACGAATGCAACCTTACTCCCCGGTTTCGGCAGATAATTGCAAAGTTGGCTGCAAAATCTGGTCTCGTGGATAACGGTTAGCCTCTAAATTCCATATGAAAACCTCTTTCTGTCGTCTCTGTTGCTTTCCACAAAGGGCCGAGCTGACACCCAGGGCACATGGACCAACATCCCGAGGGTACAGGACCACCCGGTCAATGCCGGGGATCCTCGAACAGCTTGCTGCTGGCGATGGCGCTAGTGGCTGGAGGGTGAGACCGGGATGAGGGACAACACGTCCCCGAGAGCTGGGACATTTTCGTATAGGGCTTCATCACCAGGTCATAATCCGCAGTTAGATAATTGCCAAGTGAACCAATCCAGCTGACATCGGGAGACCGTGTCAACCCCCAACGAGAACCTATCCGGCATTGATGTTCTGCCACTTGCGGCTCTCCCACGAACCCCCAGCAGGATTGTCAGTTGCACCAAACTCGCATATGACCAGCAAATGCCAGTACCGCACAAACGTCGAACACCCAGAACTCAATCGATGACCTGTTGTTAAACATTTAAATTTCTCTTCTGCTGGCGTCCGTCGTTAAGAGCGGACCCATGGGTGACGAGCATTTCACAATATTCTGCTCAACCATCCAACCAGCCCTTTCCACCGCGGCATCGAACAACAAGAGAGAGAGCCGGGGCATTCTCATCTCTTAAAGCCCATTGTCTGTCCATCTCTCCGCTTGGAAAACCCAGTCCGACTGTCGCTCATTCAAAAAGCCCACGCTCATTCGACCTTCGTTCGTTTTGCCATATGATAACATAAAAGGGGGTGACGCAGAAGCTCCTCAGGCGGTGATTTGCGCAGTGGCCAGGTATCCACGTGAGAAGTCATCATCAGAAGGGTATGCGTGTGTGTTTGTGGTGCGTGCTGTAGAACACGAAGGGCAGAGAGAGCGGAAATCAGAGAAGGATCTCGCCCATGTTCTCGCCCTCGAAGCCTAGCGTGCTCAACTTCTTGATCCGCCCCTTGTCGCGCGCCTTATCTTTGCCCCTTCTCTCGGCCGCTAGGCCCTGCACAAGCTTGAGGTCGGCCGGTTCGTAGCCTGGTGGCGGGTCGTCGTCCTTGTCGAGGTCGATCTCGCCCAGAAGGAGGACGTTTTCGCCGCGGACGAGGAAGATGCCACGCTTGATGTCTGCGAAGAGCCCGCCCTCGCGCGGGGGATTGGCGTCCGGGTCCGGGTGGGCGTAGATGCGCTCGACGGTGTCTTGGAGGACGAGGTTTGCTGGGAGCGCCTGGTTAGCCACCCCACCCCTCACGGAAGAAGACCGCTCCATGCACATGGCTGGCTAGCGGCATAGCGTATGAGATACATACCGAACTGGTCCCAGCTGCGGAGGACACCTATCAGTTTGCGCCCGTCACGGAGCGCAACCATGAGCTTCTCTACCGGCGAGGTTAGCGTTCTGTCGCGAGTGGCCCCGCACAACAATGCGGCCGAGCCTGCTGTGGTTTTCCCATACTGTCGGTCATGTCCAGTAGCTGCGCCGCAGTAGTGAACATCTGAGGCGGCAGCTGAGGGGTCTGCTGAGGCGGCGGCGCGCGTCCGCCGAGAACGGGTTGGCCCCCCTGGGGAGGGGCATCGGAGATGGTGAGGTTTTCCATGTTATCTTGTTGACATTGGTATCTGAGATTTATTGAATTCGGGCCTGTCCCAGTCCATCGATTTCTTGCAAAAGGGAGTGAGGCAAGCGAGATTTGATGTAGCGCGGCGGGTAGCTTATAAAGTGCCGCGATTGAGCATCGTCGGGGTCGAGTTGTTGCCGTCTGTCACTTTACCTAGGCTGGCTCGCTTCGTTGGTAGGTACGCTGGGCCACAGGTAGGTATGTTCGCTCAAGCCACCATCATCGTACTGTCCAACCCCTGCATGGCCAGCCTGGCGACCCCCGCCAGGTGCAGCCTCGGAAGTGCTGTTTTTGCGTCATCCGAAAGGGGGGAGAAGAAGAAGAAAAGAAGGACTGGATCACCCATGGCTGGGTCCCCGAGCACGGATCACTAACTGACAAGGCAGGCAGCCGGAGACACGTGAAAGGCGGGGCATGAGTCAATCCCTGCTGTCAAAAATTCTGATGATCTCAGATGCATGCGGGGCAGTCGCAGTCGGAGCCAGTCACACAGGTCTGGCTCGGTGTTTAGCTCTTTGGCGCAAACTTCTGCGTCGCGTGGGTGACAAGAGGTAAGGTCTCGGGTCACACGAACCCAAAGGGCACAGCATGCTTACTTCTAGCTTCGTGTTGCTTCTCTCACGATCTTCTCTCTGCGGCCTACTGTGTGCCGTGTCTATCTATTCGATCGTGGACCGTTTGTCTCCCCTCCAAAGCACGAGAAAAAAAGACTGGGAGATCCGAGGTGCATTCGTTCTGGTCAGGGCAGCCATAGCGACCTGCCACATTGATGCCTCCCGCCTCGCCAATTCGCATTTGCAGTTTACCCTCCTATGCATCCAAGCCATACCCAGCCCTGGGCCGCCCCTTTTTGTAATTTTCGTCATCTATAACAAGCCAGCCAACAACGCCCGTATCATTATGCAAATGGTTTTTTTTTTCCCACACAGGGTTAATAAGAAAGTGCTTTCGTAAAGCAATGAAACTCAGCCTCCTCAACATCGGCCGGGGGCCGGTGATCCGTGAAGTAGTGCAGTAGCAACGTATGGGCACGTTCTCGGGTGGCAGCCGGGGGGACCTCGTGGTAGTGCATACAAGAAGGACGCTCGCTTTTCGCTTCTCGTAACAGAGGGCAGGGGACTAAAGGACGAGGCGCCGGTGCGCCCGACGACGCGTATCATGACTTCTTCATGGTGCACCTGGTCAAGGCCTCAAGAAGCTCCGGCCGCGCTGCCAGAGCATCCGCGGCTTGTTCATATGTCATCCACTTCCGCTCTCTCTTGTGTCTCTCAGGCCAGTCATCCTCTTGCGTGGTGACAGTGGCCTCATAGAATCGATACAAGGCCTTGGCCGAGTCTTTGCTCGAGTGCTTCGGCGCACGTGTCTCGACGATGTCTCCCAAGTCATAGTCGATGTGGATGGTGATGCCAGCCTCTTCCCAGGCCTCACGTGCCGCCGCCTCGGTGCATTCTTCATCCGTCTCCCAGCCACCTTTGGGGAGCACCCAGCCTTTCCGGCGGGTGGACTGGATGAGAAGGACGTAACGCTTGTCCTCGGTCAAAGGAACAACGCCGGCAACCAAGCGCTCGCCTTTGGAGTTGTAACCTGCATTACCAAGGTGTTAGTGGGTCCCGCGCAGCGAGCAGGCACACCAGGGTCGGGGGAGAGGCTCAGGTGGAAAAGGGAGTCGCCTCTATCCCGTTTGCGCACTTACGCTGCTTGCTTCTTCCCGTGCGCGACTCCATTGTCCGCTCCTTACATGAGGAGGCCATGCCTGGCAACCTGACTGTCGGGGGATTCGTTGTGGAATGGGGTTGGAGGGGTAGATGATGGTGTGGACTGTCCTGAGATGCGGTTGCGGTGGGCGGTAGGTCCGGCAACTTTTATTTTTTCCCTCGCTTTGCAAGTCGAAAGCTGTCCAGGCTGAGGGGGTGGGTGTCGGGGTTTTATGCGGGCTCAAATATTTTTCAACGACATGATCGCGTTTTGTAGTGATGGAGTGGTTGATGGCGACGGGTCTTGAAGTCTACGGCTAGGTTGCCGGCGCGTATTAAGCCTTGGATGCGACCGGTTGAGAGTTGGAGCTTCCAGATTCCTCTGGAGGTTTGGCCAGTGTACGCCTCACACGGTGTGATCGTAGTTACGACGACACAAACACACGCGCGCACACACACACAACCGACAGCAGCGGCAGCGGCGGCGGCGGCGAAGAGAGGCGAGGGGACCGCTTGGGTAGATTCACCACGGCGCTGGAGAAAGGAGTGGGACCAGCCTGTGTAGAGCTGGCTGGCCAGTCGCACGTTTCCGGCCAAAGGGCTGAGCTTGACCGAACCGAGTCACGCAATTGCTGCAGCGAGCGAAGGCAAACGAGCGGGAGTCGAACGGGTGATAAGAGTGAGGGAGAAGAAGGCAGGCAGCAGAAAGGCTCGTCGTGCGTCTTTCCTCAGAATGGGTTTTGAGGCAATGGCCGATGCAGATTTCGGTTGTCCAGAGGGGAGGAAGGTCAAGAAGGATGAGACAGCGAGGCGGGCGTCAGATGTGACTGAGGCACTACCAGCTTGTGACGAGCGACCCTGGTGACTGAAGGTAAAGAGTAAAAATAAAAGGGCGAACTTTCTGGCTTACGACCCGGCCGCAATGGGTACGGGACAAAAAGGGTTTGACGTGGAAAGGGAAAGAAACGAGACGGGGAAGGGCCAGGATGGGTAGAAGTTGCTGGAGCCGTGGCAGTAATAAAGCAGAACGGAGCTCTGGTGCAAGCCAGAGGGCGTCATGTCTCGCGCCATAAGAGCAAAACGGGGGGGGGAGAACGGGCTCCAGGGGAAATTAAAGTTGACTTATATACTTGATCCTTTGAAGACAGAGAGCTTGTGCCTCTAGGAGGCCACGGCACCGAGGTAGCAGCTAGCAGACTCCATAAGAACAAAATACGGAGGAAGAAACAAAAGAAGGAAAGGAAAAAAGCCAGGGTACGATGCCAGACTGGGGACGGTTAGGTAGGTGTGGTGTGGGAGGGATTGAGCCAGAGACGGTCGACCGAAATGAATGGACAAGTACTCCGTACCTACCTACATTACAGTAGGTGGGAAGACAGAACAAACCAAACCCAAACCCAAACCCAAACACCCAAACGCTAGGGGGGAAATCGGCAGGTGTGGAATAAGTGTAGGTAGGAACCGGGGATGGATGGGTGTGAGAAGTGACATGCATGGCAAAGCTCCCCCTTGGTGGCTATTGGATTCAGGGCAGGGAGGGACAGCTTCCAACCTGGAACCGGTCACCTTTGACCTGCCTGGGCAAGGAATGCCTCTCCCGTACACTAGGTATTCCGTTCTCACACTCCCTTCTCCCCGAACTCGGTTGCAAGTACAGTACTTCCCTCCTCAGGCAGGCAGTATGCATCATCGAGAAGCAAGCCAAGAAAAAAGCGTGATGATGCCCCCATTTCTATCGTCTGTTCAATGCCGTTCTTGTACGCACGCGCCAAGCCCTAGACAGCCCGGCTCCTGCCCAGCAGGTAAAAAAAAATAAAAAAGGAGAAAAGGAAAGGGCAGGTCGGGCCATTGCAGAAGTCCGTGTACCTCTCCTCACAACTTGAATGGTCTACCTAGTATTACTTAGTACATACATGCATACATGCATGGTATGGCTCACCAGGCGGCGTTGAGCGATACCGCCGCTAATCTTCTCACAGGTTAACTGGGTCGAGGGAACCAGCTTCACCGTCCACATGCCCACGAAGTGGACAAAAGTTCAAGCCCGGTACCGATATTTCAGCACTTTCTTACCATGTCAGCGGCAGGCCCTTGATGCCCTTCCTGATGCCATCCATACGAAGTACTTAGGGGCATGTCACCCACTATTCGTCGACCTCGCCGCCGCCTCGCTTCAACGCTCAAGCATTGGGTGCCAAATGTGCCGCATGTCCTGCAGGCTCGGCATCCACTGCACTTGTGGCAGTGTATCCGTATGTCCCCAAGACTGCGTTAGACGGGTGGGGGGGTGCTACACCTCTTGTCTGGTCACGATGCAACTCTCAACACCCCCCGTCCAGCCCCGTCTAGTACGGATGGGAGACGAGTCGACCCCAAGCCTTCGCACGCCAGGTAGTGTACGGATACATGGAGTACCTACCACTGGACAAACGCTCCTATACCTACCTGTTCCCACGGCCCACTTGTACATTAACAGCCTACCTAGCTAGCTAGGTATGGGTATGTAGGCTGGTATCTTCTGTCCACCGTTTCGACGTTGACTGCTTTCGTTGCTTCAGGCTGACACAGTCGCCTGCACACCGTTTCCCCCCACGAACTTCGTCAGTCCTGGACCTCGATACCCTGCAACTCGCAAATCATTCGCATTGTCGCTCGCAGTTCCAATTCTGTCGCCAACTTTGAAACTAACAGAGAAGCCCCAACTAGGTAGGCTCTTTCTTGCCGAGCTGCATGCATCCTCACAGCTTCGTGACCCGTGACATAACTGCTCTACTCTTTGGGTTTACTCGGCGTCTTCCATGGCTTTTTTTGGCTTGTCGAAAATAAGGCTAGATGATCGGTCCAAGTACCAGAACTTGGCACGACTCTTTCACTCTCTCTTGGCCCAATCACTGAGATGCCGACCTTGTGTCCGACTTCCCAGGCCACCTACTTGTCCATCGATTGTGCCCACCCCCCTTTTGGCACGACCCCAACGGCCTGTTTCCGTTTCTCTGCTGGCTTGATCCAGGAGGCAGAGCCGGGGACACACCACTGGACCGACTTCTAGCCCTCACAGCTGACTAATCCGGCTGTCCTGGGACCTTTTGCCAAAGCCTGTATACCCCTATCGCTTCAGCATCCAAAAAAAGCATCTCATTGAAACCTTGCGCCTCAAGTCCCTGTAGATAGCTTCATTCTCCAGCAACCTTGCTGCCGCCGCCAGGTAGGTATACATATAGCGACTGAAGCTGGGCTCTAGTCCCCCGTCTCCATCAACCATACATCTCATCAATCCTTCCCAAC